GAATGCATTTTATGTACTTCAGAAAGGCAAGCGTATACTAAACACTAAGTTTTTGCCCTCACTATTAAGCAGGCATTATATTTTCACATTTAAGACTTATTAATATAACGTTGTAATATTAACACAAATACATATATTTAACTTACATGTTGCGCTTCATTAAGGGAATCTTGTCTTTTACGCTTGCTGGTTTCCCTGCGATTATTAATTTTAGCATACCAGTGCGAGGTATCTGTAGATGTAGTCGGCACTGGAGACCAGCCACGTAACAACACCGAATCTACTGAAGACGATGATGGTGATGTTGACGACGCTTCAAATGCTGATATATCCGCAGTTTCCAATGACGTAACTGTAGACTTTGATGGTGAGTCCTCTAACAAGTGTTTATATTGTAACGATTTCGACGTTATTGGTGGCTGGGACCAAGAGGACGTTGCRTACATTGGCGTTGTATTAGAGTTTTCATCAGTTGATGTAATTTTTCCGCGATTTTCTACATTATATGGAAGTTTACTTTGACGATGCTTTGAGGTATTTTGCATTTTATAACTCTTGTGGTCACTTTTGTTTTTATGGCTACTAGTTGGTTCACTAGGACTTACAGTACAGATTTCGTTACTCCGATTCTTTTCAACCCTGCAATAGAACAGAAATATCTGAAAATAAGTATTCCTTTTCAAATCTTCTAATAGTCAATAAAACGTTGGAAAAGCATATCATATATCATAAAGAAATGCGTTTACAAAGATATCCCGATATATAATACAATAAGAATTAAATTTTTCTCATAAATTCTTAAGACGGCAAAAATAATTCCCAACATAATTCTGCCTTCCTATTTCTTCTTCTTCTTAATTGGCGTAGTCACCGCTTACGCGATTATAGCCGAGTTAACAACAGTCGTTTCTTCTTTTCGCTAAGTGGCGCCAATTAGATATTCCAAGTGAAGCTAGGTCCTTCTCCACCTGGTCCTTCCAACGGAGTGGAGGTCTTCCTCTTCCTCTGCTTCCCCCGGCGGGTACTGCGTCGAATATTGCCAGAGTTGGAGTGTTTTCGTCCATCCGGACAACATGACTTAGCCAGCGTAGCCGCTGTCCTTTAATTCGCTGAACTATGTCAATGTCGTCGTATATCTCGTACAGCTCATCATTCCATCGAATGCGATATTCGCCGTGGCCAACGCGCAAAGCACCATAAATCTTTCGCAGAACTTTTCTCTCGAAAACTCGCAACGTTCACTCGCCTTCCTATTTAGATAGGTAAAATACGGATACCATCAGCAAATACATTTTTATTATATTCATAAAAATGTTTATTATTTTATTACATTGAATAATAATTTTAACTAAATATCTGCACTTAATTCTGAAATGGTGGAGATTTTCTGCTGCCTAACTATTCTATGAAAAAACTGCTAAACTTCTTTGTGGATATGCATATGGATAAGCACTWAACTGTTTTAACATTATCCTACAAATAATGGCGTTCATGAAAGATCCAAATCATCCAATCATGATCTATGTTTCTTCACTTCGTTGCTAAAGTATGAACTGTTAACAAATCGCGGAAAGTTTTATGTAARCCCTGATAAACTTTACCCATGTTTTTTAATTTTACTCCGACCCACAATCTACTAACTAGTTAAATATGCGTCTTGCAGGCCTAGAAACTTTGACCAAAATATTATATAGCAACAAAATTCCCACCATTCTTCTATTTGCTTTAAACGCACTGCATGCATATCAACTCAAACGCCGAGGTGTCAAAACCATTGGTATGTCATACATATTATGGCAGTTATTTTCATAGAAATTTTCCGCGTTCMTTGTAATACCTCCATAACTATTGGAATGGTAAAACGGGATATAATTGCTGTTATATTTGAATCCCTTTAGTCGTTGGATGTAAACATATGGTATGTATACAACGCGCAATCAAAAAAAAAAAAACAAAAAACAAGCCTGATGTGACGCCACATTAAAGCGGAATATGCAATTATTGGCGGAATGACGATGATGTTGTTAATTGACTGCAAGTGGCTTTGACTTGTCACCGTTGCCGGCGGTGTTGCYGCTGACATTTTGGCTGGTTCTTGCGGTTTTAAATGGAGAAACACTATGCCATCTATATGTCGGGGTGGGTGCTTGATGTAATTGTTGCTGTACGCATGTAGGCATGTACATATATGTTCAAATTCCACAAGGATAACCAAATTAATTGAAGGTAATTCTGTACACACCCCTATTTGGTCATTGTGGTTTGATGCTATAGTCCATAATCACTCAGTCATTTGGCCGGGAGGTTGGACACATAAGCGATTTTGCCGCTGAATTCGCTACACATGTAACTTTGTTGAAATACTTATTTAATAACGGGTTACATTTCCATCACGATTTTATGGACTTTTTCAATTAATATAATTTATTAAAAATATGTCTTTATTTTGGTACATATAAGCACATCCATACATATGTCTACATATGTATGGGTCATACATATGTCTACATATGTATGGGTGTAACCGAATATATGCAAATAGAAAAATTAAAAAGTTTAGTAAATGAAACTGAACTGTAAATGAATGAAATGAAACTGTAAGTGCATATTTTACTCACTTATTGTAAAATGTGTTCATGTTATAACTCATTTTTGACTTGAGCGGGTATTAATTGACTGAAAGAAAACAACAAAATTACAGAGTTATTAAAAAAAAACTATAAAGATTATTAAACTAATTTGGTTTACATTTACGTATGTATCGAAAGTGTGATTACTCTGTACTATGGGCAAATATAGTTAGTGGTATATTTATTTTTCAATCGACACTTTGCAGGCATTTTTAAACCTCTTATTTTTATTCTTATAAAACCCATTCGCCATATGAAGGCGATTAAAAATGTAGTTTTGAGATGAGTATATAGTATATGTATGTATGTATTTATGTRCACATATACATAATTATGTACGTTTTAAAATAACGGACAACTAAAATTCCAACACACAGGACTTCAAAAAGTGGAAGGTGTCAAAAACAGTGCCTGCATGACTTTTAATTGTTACATTACTACATACAGGCACATACAAAAAATAAGATAATGCTGATTATGTAAAAGTTGAATTGCGATAGACAAACTGTATTTAAATTATGTGGCCATATGTCATGTTACGTCTCGTAATTATTTGTATTAAAAAATATAGCAATGACATGGGTCCTTTAAAAAATCATAAATGAACAAACGATCGAAGTCGTTTTTTGTAAACAACTACGATTCACAGTGGCTGATACATAGATAATACCACTACTACTTTCTATTAGTTCGATTATAACTATTAGCTAATGAGATATAGCATTTTTGYGAAGCAACTTGTGTTAGTTTACAAAAAAAGGATCATAAAACATTTCATGTGTTAATAAAGCATGGCTTTTTGGGGGAAAATACCGTTGAATAGATATTTGCTAACCTGGAAACAGGCGAAATGAGTACCGAGGACAATGATGCTCTAAAGAGKCGAAAGTTCATAATCCAACAAAAACAACGAAKAACTGATTCTGAGAAGTGTTTGAATGCTCTTTAATCGTAATAAAACCGAATTATTGCGTCGGTGTGTGGCAATAGAAACATAGATTCATCATTACCCACTGGAGTCCAATCGGCAGTCATTTTAGTGGCATATTGAGACATCAGTCTTTTGGGATACAGTGGTATAGTACATACTCAACGACTGATTACTGWGCCAGTTATAATCTATTTCACTGCTTATTTGATTGCAGTTATTTTCTATTATTTCAAATACTTAGTAATTGTATTATTTTTGAGGAAGAATCTGTTTAAAATTGTACTCATATATTCAAATGATTTCWACAAACATGAATTTTGAGCAAATGCTTATGATTTGAAATATAATTTTTATATTTAKGAGTTGTATTAAATATAAAGAGATAAACAGTATCCTATGTCCTTACCCCGGTTCTAAGGTATCTCTCCACCAATTTTCAGTCAAATCAGTTCTGCCGTTCTTGAGTTATAAATGGTGCAACTAACACAACTTTCTTTTATATATATAGATTGTGTCTACTGTGTATATATGTACATATATATTAGGTTGTCAAATATCTCCCTTCCATCTTTTTTTCTTTTGATTTTCGCGGCTATCTATGCTATCTATCTATGTACGCTACAGAGCKCGTATCTGGCAATACTATACAACTTTGAAAGGTCTTGACATAACCTACAAAACGACGGTATGCATAATATTGCGTGCAGCAGTTATAGACGTGTAAACATGGAGTTCACTAAAGCGAAATTCGCGCTATTTTAAAGTTTTCTTTCGTTAAAGGCAAATCCGCTAGAGAAACGTTCCGTGAGATTAATGGTGTTTTTGGGGATGGTACTCTATCACTTCGAACTGCGAAGGAATGGTTTCGACGATTTAGAGCGGGTGAAAACGACACCATGGATAAGCCAGCCGGCGGAAGACCTGTGACGACGAATACCGGTCAAATCATGGAAAACATCGAGTTACAAAGTGAGTTCCAAAGTAAACAGGACTTAAAAAAAAAACAGAGCAAATGTTTTTTTTGGCAAAGTCAAGTTATTTTATTCAAAATAGCCTCCTTCTGAGTCAATAAAACATTTTGCACGGTCCAAGATCCGTGATCACGGCCAACATGTTGATCGTCATTTATGCCCTCACGACCACTTTGAAAACCACTCGTGTACTCTGCTACGGGATAGGCAATCATCGCCATAAACTTGTTTCATCAATTGAAACGTTTCGGTAAAAGTTTTACCAATTTTAAAACAAAATTAAATGTTGGCTCTTTGTTCGAAGCTCATTYTCGCACCGATAACACAAACATATTGACACCTAAAATGCAATAACTTCACTTCCAATCGATGAAATGTCATGAAATTCTCACTGGACAATCGATGTATATAGCAGATTCTAACGCACCATTCGACATATAGATGGAAACCAGTGGGTGCTAGAAAAAGTCCTGTTTACTTTGGAACACACCTTATAGACCGGCAAGTGGCATCTCGTGACATCGCCCAGAAGATGGGAGTTAGTCACCAAACCATTTTAAACCATCTGCAGAAGGCTGGATACACAAAAAAGCTTGATGTTTGGTTACCTTGTGGACCGAATCAACGCCTGCGATATGCTGCTGAAACGGAACGAACTCGACCCATTTTGAAGCGGATGGTGACTGGCGACGAAAAATTGATCACATACGACAATATCAAACGAAAACGTTCGTGGTTGAAGGCCGGTGAATTGTCCCAAACAGTAGCCAAGCTGGGATTGACGTCCAGAAAGGTTTTGCTGTGTGTTTGGTTTGATTGGAAGGGAATCATGCACTATGAGCTGCTCCCATATGGCCAGACGCTCAATTCTACCATCTACTGCGAACAACTGGACCGCTTGAAGCAGGCGATGGACCAGAAGCGTCCATAATTGCCCAACAGGAAGGGTGTAGTGTTCCACCAGGACAACGCCAGACCACACACTTCGTTGATGTCTCATCAGAAGCTACGGGAGCTCAGATGGGAGATTTTATCGCATCCACAATATAGCCCGGACATAGCGTCAAGTGATTACCACCGGTTCCTGTCCATGGCGGACGCCTTTGTTGGTGTAAATTTTAACTCAAAAGAGGCTTGTGAAAAGTTTCTGTCCGAGTTTTTCGCAAATAAGGACGGGGGGCTGCTACGAGAGGGTATTATGAAGTTAACGTCTAGATGGAAAGAGATTTTCGAACGAAACGGCGCATATTTGAAATAAATCCGATCACTGTAACACTTTTTATAAAGCATTGAAAAAAGAGCAAGAAAGCGGATGGGAGATATTTGACAACCTAATATGCATATGATAAATAGCAATATTTTTAATGATGAAAGTTTTAAAATATGTAATCAAAAGATGAAATAAAAATTACTGTAATGCCCATCTGTATGATAACATATGTATGAGGATGAAGGTATCCACGCAGTTATTACCGGCAGCTGATGAATTCCAACTTAATGCATCCCCAAATTAATTTGGAATAATTATGTAAGGAAGATGGAGTCATGTGTAGAGGTTCACGCAAGTGAGGAAAGTTCTCTGATCGCCATTCACTTGGGAGTGGCCAGAAACGATTCTTTGACATGTGAATCAAGCAGCTCACGACTTCCGGTCGTGGAGCTGGAATGTCCAGCTGCCCAGCTGGTTGATGTCTTCGTGAAAATAAAGGCTGACATCACCGCCGTCCAAGAAATGCAATGGACGGGACAAGGACAGAGGCGAGTAGGTCCTTGTGGCATTTACTACAGTGATCATATAAAGGAGCGCAAGCTTGGTGTGGGATTCGTGGTGGGAGAGAGACCCTGTCGCCGAGTACTAGTACTTCACTGGAGCGAATGAACGTCTAGCCACAATCCCCATCAAAGCGAGGTTCTTCAACATATCGCTGATTTGCGCCCCCGCCCCGACGGATGAGAAGGACCATGTGACCAAAGATGAATTTATGAGTGCTTGAAGCGCACTTATGAGAGCTGCCCCCGCCACGATGTCAAAATCGTGATTGGCGACTTTAACGTCAGGATGGGCGAAGTTTGTATCTTTGACACTACGGTCAGTACGCACAACGCCAGGAGAAAGCGAACCCTATGCCCCAATCGATGACGATGGCCCAGAAACGGCGGCGAAGAACTGATAAGGAGCATGCATCAGCTTCTTTGTAAAATATGGTCGGACGAAAGCATGCCCAACGATTGGGATTTAAGTGTGCTCTGCCCAATCCACAAAAAGGGAGACTCCACAATCTGCGCCACTTACTGTGGGATAAACCTCCTCAACATCGCGTGCAAGATTCTATCTAGCGTATTGTGTGATAGATTAAAGCCCACCATCAGCAAACTGATTGGACTTTATCAGAGTGGCTTTAGACGTGGCAAATCTTGGAAAAGACCCGTGAAAGGAGAATCGACACACACCACATCTTCGTCGATTTCAAAGCTGCTATCGACAACACGAAAATGAGCTGCCTTTATGCCGCGATGTCTGAATTTGGTATCCCCGCAAAACTAATACGGCTGTGTAAGCTGACGTTGAGCAACACCAAAAGCACCGTCAGAATCGGCAAGGACCTCTCCGAGCCGTTCGATACCAAACGAGGTTTCAGATAAGGCGATTCCTTATCGTGCGACTTTTTCAACCTGCTTCTGGAGAAAATTGTGCGAACTGCAGAACTAAATAGAGAAGGTGCCATCTTCTATAAGAGTCTACAGCTGCTGGCGTATGCCGATGATATTGATATCATCGGCCTCAATACCCGCGCCGTTAGTTCTGCTTTCTCCAGACTGGACAAGAAAGCAACACAAACGGGTCTGGCAGTGAACGAGGGCAAGACGAAATATCTCCTGTCATCAAACAAACAGTCGTCGCACTCGCGACTTGGCACTCACGTCACTGTTNGTGGAGAAGGACCTGACTACGCTTGGAATATCCAATTGACGCCACGTAGCGAAAAGAAGAATCGACTGGCGCGCTGTTGTTAACTCGGCTATTAAGAAAAATTATTTAAATAAAGGAAATGAAGTGTAAGGCTTTTAAATGATAATTGAGTGTAATTACTAAAGGAATCAAAAAATTGTTGYCCGTAAATTATATTTTAACTACTTTATGTT